ATGATAAGCAAAAGGAATACACGTCAAATAAGATCGAATCGATTATTAAGGATTTGTCAATGGATAAGAATGTGAGCGTAGAGTGCAATGACATGGCACTTGGAAAGAGGTCAAATGGAAAGGCAGATATTTTAGCTGAGATTAACATTATTTATACTTTCGATAAAGCATCTAATGGAATTTCTTTGACTATAAAAAAAGGACATGCAAATCTTGTTCTTCTTGGATTTTCAAAGAAATTAAATTACATGCTTTACCAAAAGTATGAAGAAGTAAAAAATATTTACAGCGGTATAAACTGCTATATAGGATACATTGCGGATCAGTACATTAGTGCAGAGTTAGATGCTTTAAGTTATACTGCTTATGGTCGCAGTATAAAACTTGGGAAAAAAGTATTACAGGTTATAGAGGAAGGATCAGAAGACATATCTAAAATACTTGTATTAGGAAAGCTTGCTTGCAAAAAGGTTAAAGGCGGTATTATAAGGAGATTTATATTTTGTACCATAGATAAGGAAGTGGGCCCAAAAAACCCTCTAACACGGTTTACTGCAAACCTTTTAGGAAGTGTTCCGCTCAATGATTATGCATCAAGACGTTCAATGATGAGGATCTTCCCATTTCACGCAAGCTGGCAGAAACTCTATCCAAGGCTTGGATTTAAGCCATTGGAGCCTATCCCCAAAGAAGATGCTATTTGGATTTATCTATCAGGACAAAAAGAATCTTTCTGCTATACTCTAAAGTCTCTTTCAGCGCCTGAAACATCAAAAGCCATATGCAACTATTTTAGAGCAACTGTGAATAACCCAAGGATGATCGATTTAAGCGTAGAATTTATAACCCGACCGGTTCTAATTGATCGTATCATGTCTAGTGTGATGATAAAAGACTTGGTGGAAATTCAATCCAATATCAAAGACTATATGAAAGACTATAATTTAAACTATGTGTATATTATCTGGTTTATGTGCGTATGCTCAGATGATTATAAATTCTCATTAGAATCTGCTAAGACAGTTTATGACTTTATAGTCTTTGATGGTTATCCAAACCCATTTGAGTTTAAGGAAAAAATGAAAGCAAGCAAAAAATACTTTGAAAAATCTCTAAGTACTTTAAAAGAAAATAAAACACTTTTCTGCTCGGAGGATGACAGAAAAAGTATGGAAAAGTACGATGCTGTGTTAGAATACTTCTTGCAAACCTGTTAGCAGATCGAGGAACCTAAATTCTCAGCCAGCACTATAAGTTGATTTTAGACATTGACTTCCGGAGATTATCCTGCAGAAAATCACGCTAAAAGGGGATATACTTGTTTACATATAATTCATTTTAACTGGATTAGACTCTTGGCCTTTATTTGCCCTTCAGCAAACAATTAACTATCTCCTGATAGTATGACAAAAGACACCTTCTAGAAACATTCAGAAACTTTGATTTTTTTGTCTAGAAAACTCCATTCTGTGCGGGCATGGATAGAGGACAAAAAATAAATTTATTCTATATTTTTGTATGATTAAGTGTAGCGATTCATAAAAAGAGAATTATCTGTACTTTAAAGCAGCTTTTTAGTCTTAAGATTTATATTTGAATATAGCCAGAATATAACAGAAATAGAATATGAAGATGTATTTAGAATAACTTAGTCAGCAAACTATTTTATGACATTTTTCTAGCATGCATTAAATAACTATGCAGTGTTGTATAAGCACACACGGTAGTAAGAATGGGATGGCGTTTCTATTTGTCTTCCATCTCTAATACATGAAATTGTGCCCAAAGGAGCAATACACCAGTGGGGAGATAGCAGTCTAAATAGAGAGCGCACTTGTCAAGGAAGTGTTATTATTCATATATCATTGTACTCGCGTGTTCTTCATTTCTGACATGCGCCTTCCTTTTATATTCCCACACATTTTTATAGTGTTTTCTCAATTCGTAGATTTTTCGAAATTATTCCCTTTTATATCAACAATGTTGTTGCCTTGTGGCTGAGAAGTGGGAAGTCTACCACAGCCTCCTTTAATTTGCTATTATTTCCGAGACTTGCGTCTGATGCTAGCCAAATTGTCATTTCTGTTTTGCAATCCGGATAGAAAGCATGCATTTCAATAGCACAGATAATTCTTTGTAGTTTAAAGCACTTTTGAGAATATAGCTGTTCTTATTCACGCTGTAGGCACTGCTTCTTTATTCAATGTAATACGCGCTTCTTTAACACAGTGTGTTATACCACTTTGGCGTGGCATCTTATATATTCTCTCTTGCTCTTACTGTTTGCCGTCTGTGCCTGCAGATTCGGGGCTATGCATGCTATTCATGGCGCCTGCCTTTATAGAAGTGGGTATGTCAGAGCATGCCCGACCCTTCCTTGCCAGCATAGACTCTACATACAGATACAATATGCCTGCACAGAGAATAGACAGCAGCACTATGTTGATTGAATACTGCTCTACTATGCCTTCTGCAAACTTTTCTGTCATTCTCTTTATTTTATTTTTGGCTCTAATACATACTTACTTGAAGATCATTTTTATTTTTATATTAATACTCTTTTCTTCTCATATACATACTTATATAGTAGTCTACTGGCTGGGCATCTAGTCAACTGCCCGGTATAACCCGAGATAGACAGCCAGTTGCAGTGCGTGTTATACTGAGACCCGTTCACTATACGTCTCTCTTACCCGTGCACGTCTCTTCTCTAGAAACCCACTTACTTATCAGTATGCGCCATGGTTCAAATTGTACCTTTATAACCTTCTTCTGCAGCATGCATTACCTTCTTTGCTATGTCTACCACATGCCGCTGCTTTTCACACGCATTTTCAGCTGCATCATATGATATATATGCCTGTTCTGTTTCTTCTTCCTTGGATATAGCTTTCTTCTGCATGTCAATCATACTAGCCATAATATCAATAGCCTCTGTTATTAGTTTCATCTGATTTTGATATAACCCCTGGCTCTTAAATATTTTATGTTGTTAGCGACAATTTTCCAAAAGTCTTTCTTATTTTCTATCTTCACATGCAATAAACCATCTCTGTCATGTGTTTTTTTAAAATTTGTCTGAAATGTATTTTATTAGAGAATGCAATTTTTTCCCTGCTTTTACTGCTAGTGACTGGTATTCCATGCTGATTTTCCTTGAGGTGTGTGCTCTTTTCCATTTCTTCCATGAGCATAATGATTTTTTGGTAGGAAGCACTGATTTCTTTCTCCTCTTAGTCTATTGCGTCTATTTCAGCAGTGTGTTTATGAATCTTCTTTGAAATTTCAGGATCAAAGCCTGTGTTATCTGCTGGTTTTATATTGAAAGGGTCACCATATCGATTATTAATTTCCTGGATTATATCAGATATTTCCTTGTTCTTCAGGCTATTGACATCCTCAGCTTCCCTACTTTTTTCTTCAAAGGCATCTTTTGCCAGATTTGCAGCATTTTTCATCTCTGGCAGCCTTTCCATCTCCACTGTGTACTTTTCAATGGCTGCCTCTACATCCTCTTTAGCCATACCTTCCTCCTTCTTTTCAACTATTAGATTAGAGCTGTTTTTTTTATCCATTGCATACTCAGCCAGTTTGCCTGTGCTATTACTACGCCCTAAGTGCCTACCTTCTAGCACACCTTGTGCGCCTGCATCTGCTGCCCTTCCACATGTACAGCCTTTTTCTTTCTCTTCTGACACATCTAGCGAAGAAGTGCTGCTCTCCTCTGTTTCTGCACTCTCTTTATTATCACTAGTTCTGTCTGCATCTAAATAGTTATTCGCATTCTCATGTCCCCAAATGCGCTCTTCTCTGTCTCCGCGCAGAGTTAGCTGGGTGCTCTTCAATGCGTCTTTTTGCGATTCACGCCATATAACCAACAGGTATATTAGAACATATATTCCAAAGGATGCTGCTACTACTAGGAGCACAGTCCAAATCGCCTTTCGTATCATACTCTTTCTGTCCCACACCTGTGCACAACTCATGTCCCTTTTTTTATTCTTTTCTAATATACCCATACGATCACTTTGATCACACACCTGATATTGCACATTTAATCTCTAAATTAGGATCTGCTGTTAAAGCGCTCTACTTAGGAGACAAAGTGAACTTAGAAGATACATGCAAGTTTATCCCTCAGTTGGTGTAAGCCTTCCTTGTGCAGTGCGCACTGCATTTTATTGCACTTTCTTGTATATATTCTATCCTCCTGCAGACTGGCAGCTCTTTCGCTTACACTGTCTCTTTTTCTTTTTATTTGAGTCTATTACAGAGTTGGCTTTTTCTTCTTTTTCCAAGTTCTTTCTGGCAGGCAGTCTTTCAGCATGCAAGTATTTTCTGGGTTTACACCCTAATTCTTTGTGTGGCCTATACCAATGCAGCATAGCCTTTTTTATCCTCTCGCACAGTATCCAATGCAAAGCCTGTTCTACCCTCTTTAGTGCGCTCTAATACGATATAATTGAAAATACTTGTATTTTTGTTTTAATACTCCTGCTATGAATATAGTCTAGTGAAGAATTGGCAATATAGCAGTATACAATTGAACTAGCTGTACCAAAGTCTTAGTTACTGCTTTTTATTATCCTCTTAGGGGTTATATTAAAAAAGTCTATTTCTACTAGCATGTACGCAAAAAAGTATTAGAACATAAGTTTTAAATCACTTTATTAAAGCTTGCTTACTGACGCCTAGACGTATTCAATACTTTTTTAATTGATCTAAACCTTTTCATACTCTCTGCATCATCTTTATCACACACAGTAGGTTGTATGGATTCAAGCAGTGATGATGAACTTTTAGCAAGACTCCTCCATAAAAAAGAAAAATCACTCTTTTCGAGTTCTGTTACCTCAATTAAGTCACAGCATCTTTTTACTATATCCTTCCAGTAACTACATTTAGACTCGCTTTTATTCTGAATAATCCACATCAAAAACATATTAAGGTATCCCTTACAATCAGCCCGATCTTCATTTCCCATTCCCTGCGTAAATTGAGCAACTCTAGTAATATACTCCATGGTGGTTCCATCCAGTGTTAAAATCTTGACAAATAAATCTCCTGCTTCGGGTATCCTACTAAGCTCTCCAGCAAAAGTCTTAAATTCCCGACACCCATTGCCTTTCAGATAAATCAATCTAATCAATATATCGGTGATTATATTAGCATATGTTTTGTTGGACACAAGTGTTGCACTGTTTGCCAACTCCAATAGATTGTTTATTGCTTTTGCAAAATATTCTTCCTTTTCATACGCATGCTTGTCTATGGTTATGTGCGGATAGTACTTGTCTACTGAGATGAAGCTAAGCAGCATAAACATTTCATTCCTTTCGTCGCTATCCATGCAGCGAGCACTTTCCAGGAGGTTATCTGCCAGGCGCACAAAAGAGTGGTCGCTGTCAAGATTTCTGTCTATTGCATGTAATAGTAGAGCCCATACAACATATATTTTGTATTTTTGGATACGCATTAAAGGATCAAGCAGATGTACATCTACATTCCTGCACTCATTATCATAGAAGAGTGTGGGCTGGAGCATCTCATTTAGCCTAGAACGATTTTTTTCCTTGAATTCATATATAGCCCAAACAAGTGCATTTCTCTCAAACACTCCGAATTGTTTGTTATGTAATGGGTATGACGCCTGTTCTATAGCAAAAGTAGCTTTACAGTCCAGTTCTATCATGTTTGGATTATACCTAAAAGAAGCCACAAACCGATAGTAATAGGCTAATTCCGTATCACAATCTATATGTAACACCCCGAATAAATCACTGTAGCTTTCTTCGAAAGTCTGCTTAAATATCCCTGAAAATTCGGGACCTTTCTTAATTATCTCTGTCAGATATTCTTTTATATCATTTCCTAGTTCGGTTTTCAGTGCCTCCTCTTTCTCAATATACTTTTTATATAATGCATCAATATCCATTAGTTCCTGTATCGTTAGCTTGATTTCATCTGCTTTTTCTCTGTATTCTTTTTCTTTAATTCTATCTTCAAGGATTCTTATGGTCTTCAGTCTTTCCGAATTAATCACGCGTAATATTTGTAATTTCATTTCATTTTTCTCTTCTTTAGTAGCTTCTTCATCTTGTGTAAGCTTCTGATAAAGCATACGAACTTCCAGAATCCTCTGTTCCTCCTCTATCATATACAGTCTTAACCTAAAATCATTTATCTTCTTTGTATCACCCACTCCTGCTATCTCTTTAATGACATGCAGCATGTTTATTATTCCTGGCACAAGCTGGTTTCTGTCGGGCCGCATATATTGTATGTCCTGATTGGATAGGCCCCCTACCACTTGGTTCCAGTCATCGTGCATTTCCTTTGATACTGCTCCATACATGTATTTGTGTTTTCGGAAAAAGCTTTTCAGCTCCTCAGAGGCAGACTTTATGTGGTCAACTGTGAATATATTCTCCTTTGGGTTATACGCAATAGTAAAGAACAGGCCCAGCAGCACTGTCTCGCCATAATCAGTAAATCCTGGCGAAGGAATTGGTATAGCATTCTTTTGGATATGCTCATCATCTAGGAGATTTATTATATGTGCAGATGAAGAAGAGCTCAAATTTTCTATATTCCTTTGGACAGGAACCACATCTGCAACTGGCTCAAGATATAGTGAGTTTATTGAGATTTCTATAGGATTCTTGAACAGCATTTCTTTTATCTGACGATTTGCAGCTATGTGTTGTGGACTATTTGATCTTTGCCCACCCGATATAAAGTATCTGCGAAACAAGTCCTTTTCTTGCGCAGGCAGTGTTTGTTCTCTCTGATTCTTTTCAGGATTGGCTTTTCCCTTCTTTATACACTCATTTAGCAGATCACGCACTATCTTCCTGAACAAAATTACCTCCTTGGTACTCTCTAGGCAGTGGCGTATATATGTCTGTATAAGGAAGGCGGGGCTGTCTATAAACTGTACTTTCTCATGCATATCACAGTCAGATGGCTCTGAACTGCCTTTGTCTTCTGTAAAAACTTTATTTTCTCTATTCTGTATAAAGAAGCTTATCACATCAACTGCCCTTTTCTGAAGCACCTTTTTAAACACATATAAAGAATCTGCATCTTTGCCGATTTTAACCGATGTATTCATATTGAGTCTGAAGTGCTCTTTTATTCCATCTGCCTTCTTCAAAACTAGATATGTTTCACTTTCAATTTCATCAATTTCTAGTGGCAAATCTACTCCCTCTACAAGCAGCAGCAGCAACGAGGCAAGTATTTTATACTTGTACTCTTTTACATCTACCCTGTTAATAAAAGAAAAAAAAGAATCCTCTCTGTCCGACCATATGGACACATACCCATATATAGAGGGGAACAGCTCAAGAAGCGTGGTAAAATACTCTTTCTTATACCTGAGCAAGTCGCCTTCATACGGAAGAGTGGGATGCACTCTGTCCTGCCTGTGGTCTCTTGTGTAGGTGTAGGTCGGATCTTTTGGAACACCCTTAGCAACTACTATAGAGTGCTCTATTTTTATTTCAGGCGAAAAAAATCTCTTGTTGTGTATAAACCCAATATCGCTGGCTTCTTCCTTTAGCACTGGCTTTATTTCACTATCTATGCTGCCTTCTTCAGTAATAGTATCTGCCTTCACTTGGACATTTATTAGCTTGTCCACTGTTAGCACTCTATCCCACACATGGCACAGTATAGCCAGTCCAATGAGCATGTATAACTTTGCTCTCCAAATAGCTTTTCTTTTTTTCTCATGTTTTATTCTATGTACTCTTAGGTCCTCTATTGCTACTTCTTTAGTCTCTAATAGCTGGCTCTTTCTCTTCGAAAGACTAGACTTCGCCATACTAAACATTCTATGGCTTACTTTTCGTTGTCTATTTATAGACCATAAAATTGGCAATTTATCAGTATTTTGTGCTTATAATTAAAATTAATATGATTATAAATAAAAACATAACAAATTACATGAAGAATTGTTAAATCAGAAAAATTTAATTTAAATTTAGCATAACAAAACAAAGCATCTTATATTGTATTAGTATACAGCAAAATCTTGGAAGGCAGAGACAAACATCCATAAATATTGCTGGCTCAGAAAGAAGGCCTTACACCCCCAAGGAAGAGAAACCAGCAGTATATCAATTCGGGTTATTCGGGAGGGCTATCTCAAGCCAGGCAGTATAACCCAAATATTCTATCAAAGAGTGAAAGAGAAATACTATTCAGGGCAAACCCACAGTACAAGAGGTATCTAGGAGTGCTTTCAAGATATGAATAAAAGGTATTTGGTGTGCAGGGTATTTTCCCTATTCTGCTACTATTCACGTGGTACAGTGCTTTATTTACTATAATCTACCAATATTTATCTGCCTATTCTTTCATTTTTGTGCTTCTGCTTACTTTTTCCTTTTTTTCTCTTTCTGATTCCTTATTGTATTTTTATTCGGGTTTATATTAGGAAAATAAAGTGTATGTACAATATAGTAGAGTAATTTATTTTACATAGGTATAAAAATAGAAATAAAACACAAAAGGCAGGGAAAAGAAGAAAAGTTGCACATCCTAGAGAACTGCCACTGGTCAGATACAAAGATAGGAATGAGAGGGAAACAGAGAGAATAACACACTACAGACAAATAAAGAACGAAACAAGCATTTATTAACAGCTATACACACACTCTCTTACACTCATCATACTAGCCTGTGCTGTGCACCATAGAAATGCACAGAGACATTTTATTGAAATAGAAAGCACACCAAATGGATATGCACAGAGTGCAGGCTTTCATTACGTGCACTATAAAGCAAGAAGCATAGCGAGATATGTATCGCGCTGGAGTGCTGTGCCCATGAGTGCAAAGAAAGGCGTGTAAAGAAAAAACTATACTGTATGCTTGGCAGGCCTAGTTTGCGAGCACGGCGCAGACTGCTATGCACACTACAGCAGTGCTTGGGCATACCCACAAGAATACTTATAAGAAGGCAGCTATTTTTATAATAGAGAAAGATTTTATTCTGCTACACTTTTGCATTTTTCTACAGAAAGTGCTTCTACTTGGATTATTCTCTAGAGGTATTAAGAATACTCTTTTCAACCAGCAGCTTGATACACGGATTGGGACTGGTCAAATCGAGCTGTAGCATGTAGTGAATAGCAGAGATAATTGGGGCGTTCGGAGTATGCTGCGCCAAGTAGTCTTTAAGCTGGCTTATTTTACTTTCTTTGGATATTGTTTGTACAGCCATATGCCGGGCTTCATAAAAAATGTTGTAGTCTTCTCTATTTGTACTCAAATTATTTTCTTGGGGGACGTCTCTAGGATATACAAACATATTAAAGACATACGGCGGATGAATATCCTTCTCCCTGAAGGATATGGAAACATTTCCAAAAACATCTACCGGATCGTCGCTGTCTTTTGTTGCTTGCACATATATTTTTTCCGTGCTCACTTCTCCATTGATGTTCACTGAAAGGTCCTTCATCACGGATTCAACATATTCTTTTACGACTGAGGATAGGGCTGTGGTATTTTCTTTTTTAATGTCTTTAATCCTCTTTTTAAACGTGTCGTTTTTCGCTTCTAGTAGTTTTTTCGGGCCATCTTCTTCTGGCGGTCCGTGAATAATCCATATTGCAGCGCTGATTATGTTTATCAGGCCGTTGTCAATCCTGCCTGTAGTTGGGTTTTTGCGAATTGTTTCTTCGCTTATTATGGCATTCATTATTTTTTTCCAGTCTGAGTACATGCTCTCTGTGTGGACTGCAACTGCGTATCTGTATCGTGCGAAGAACTCTTGCACACAAATCGCGGTATTTTCGGTAAAGCGCTCCTGCGTATACATTTCCTTCTCGCGGTCAAATGCAAAGCAGCAGCATATTCCAAGAAGAGTTTTCTCGGTTGGCGTGAGGTCGCCATCGTTGCAGTCTTTCTCTCCTGCAAAAGAAAGTTCTCTATTGATATTTGCATCTCTAAGCACACTCATTATAGCGTCATTTATATAGAACGAGGTTTGTAAATCTTTGGTTTCATGGGGATCGATCTGTTTAAAGCACTGCTCTAGCTTTTGGCGGTAGATTGGAGAGGGCTTTTTACCCGACAAAATCCATATGTCCCATATATTCTGATATACCATGCTAATTGTCTTCTCCAAAAACTCTTTCATCATATCTTTGCTCTCGATGTACTCGTATATGTACGTCTGTATGAGGAAGCTTGGGGAGTTCATATAATTCCCGCTAGAAAACTCTTGATGGTCCGCGGCTTCCATGCTCTGCGACTCTTTTTGGTTTGCAGAGAAAAGTATGCTGTTTTTATTATTGTGCTGGCCAGAGTTGCTTTTCCTGTACGTTTTGAAAAAATCGACTATTTTCTCCATCTCGCTCACGGGGTCTGAGCAGAGGCGCACAATGACTTTTTCGTTTTCTGTAAGAGTGGTGAGCGAACCAACTAGTATCTTTCCGGCATTATTCTGATCGTTTATGGAGCTTGGATAGAACAGAGTTAGCAAGACATGATTTGAATCTTTATGGTGAACAAATTCGAGCGGTATATTGTATCCTTCTGATATTAGAAGGAGCGCTGCAAGAATTATAAGATCTATACTATCATCCGGCCTGTTATTGTGAGTGATGATAATTGCATCGTTGAAGGGGTTATCACCATCTGGCACAATGAGCGTGCCCTCTTTTATGGAGGGGAACATCATATTAAAAGTATCTGTGTACTTTTTCCTGTATATTTCCTCAGGGCTCTTTTCTGCATCTGTCTCGTCTGTGCTAGTACAATCCATAGAGCAGTCCATTTCAGGGTTCTGCAAAGCTGTGTTTTGAAAAGGCACACTCTGCATACTGCCTAGAGTCCCACTCTCCGTGCTATTTAGCAGAGCTCTGATCTCGGGGAGTATATTCATTTTCTGAACCATGTATCCAAGCGCGGGGTTCAAAGGCCCTAATGGGTTGATCATGTGGTTCTTCCCATTGATTGGGAGCTTCATTTTATTATTGCATATATCTTGTATTTCCTTAAAGAGCAGCCTCGCTGACACACAGCAGAGAAAGGCCAGCTGAATGAGCAAGCATGTTTTTGCACGGCAGGCTCCTGCAGCCAGGGCTCTCTGCGATGGGCAGAGTGTTCTTTGGCATCTTGCTTTTCTTTCATGTTCTTCTCTTCTCTCTATCTTCATTTTTATTATCTTAGTTCAAAATTTTTCAATAAAATTATTAAAACTAGCAGAGTTTTTAACTCTCTTGGCTATTAAGGCTATACTAAAAAGTGCAATATCCCTTCTTACTAAAATAACCCGAATGACATTGAAAGGTGGCTGTAGATGCTGCGCGCACTCAAATACCCAAGTAGTGCACAGTGCCAATGCACTCTGTGCCGCTCTAGCTGAAAAGCTCCCTACTGCACAGTCTGCTACCCCAAGGGACCCCAAAGAAGCAGATGCCAGATGCATTCAAGCTATCTGCTGTGCAGGGTAATAAAAGCGCTTTTCAATTTTACTCTATTAACTGTTTTAGTTATTGCTGGGATTTTAGTGCGCATATAAGCTACATTATGCAATTTCACAGGGTATGCAGCCTTGTGCACATAGCGCTTATTTTAGAACATTTTCTAAAAGCTCTATATAGAAGTATTTAAAACAAACTTCTGCTCTTAGGTCCCTTATCTTGGAAAAGAAAGCACTAAAAGGCTCTGTCACAAACAAATGCAGTGCAGAGAGTGCGATCTTCTAAAGAAGCCTTTTATACCAACGCGCTATATAAACATGCAGAGGGTCCATATAGAGCTATTTTATTAGGAATAGACATACTTTAAGTAATTAGTGCAGGAAGGCCAAGCTCATTTAAGTCTATTGCGCTGGGACAAAGAGCCCAGTGTGTATTTTAATGCTCCTGCAGAGATGCTTGCCTTGGGTAGAAAGCACGCTTATCTGTCTATGCACCGCATGCCAGCTGCCCCACTACTATTCTATGTGCTGGTATGCCAGTGTCTTTTCAATACAAAGTTTTTATTTTTGCATTTTGGGCCTCCTGCTGTGCATTCTTTATTTTAAGTCTCTGTACTATCCTTTGAAGCAGAAGAAAAGGTTGCAATTTTAAGACAGTATGTTTTCATATTTATTGAATGAGCCACTTCGCAGTTTTATAGAATACATCTGTGCACACTGAACTGTGGAAGCCCACCCAAGAAGACGTGCCGCCCATAGGCCTGCGTTCTTTAGACCGCTGTGCATCTTTTACAATGTGGGGTTGCCCATGATGGCTGCTGTGATGCGCTGCTCTATCCCCATGCAGCTGGCATTGTTGCTGATATTCTGCACAACAAGGATTTTTTCTGAATCAACATACGGCGGGGAGAAAACCAGTCGGAATAGGTCACTGGCATTTGCTTTCACAAGATATGTGCTGTTCTGGTAGTTGTACTCCTCCCTCTGTATAGACGCACTGTCGTGCGCGCAAATATAGTTGAGGTGTCCGGTGCGGATGGGGGCGTACCAAGAAATTGTATTTCCGCCATCTTCATACACAGCACACAGACTCTGGCAGTCCGTATAAGGGGCTGCAAGATCGACCGCATGCTCTCCCAGGTACAGAGGACTGTAGTAGGGATGCTTATTTTCCGGCATGTTTATTCTATTCAGAGTGAATGTGCCAGGAGTGAGCGGCATTGGCTTTATATTGTAACCGTTCCTAAATGTGGGGCATGTACTATACAGCATGTTCATTGCAAAGCGCACAAGGTTAGTTACAAACAGCGGCACGGACACGCAGTTTTTACTATTCCGGCCTGCAGCACCTTTTCCGCGCGTACTGGCCAGCTGTACTGCCGTGTAGTCCGAGTCCTCTCTATTCCCAGGAGTTCTGTTCTCTATGTGGTAGAACACAACATTGTGTGTTTCTATTGCGGTGGCCAGGACTTTGTTGCACTCTTCTGTATTTAATATAGCCCACTTAGACTCGCCTTTCTTTTTCTTGCTCTGGGAAAGAACGTATATGCTCTCTGTGTCTTTGCTAAAGATGATGCTAAGGCACTTTATGGCATCGCATATTTTGTATGCTTTGGCGAAGACCTCTCCTTTGCACAGCGGCAGACATACCCGCGTGCGTGTTTGCATCGTGTTATCAACATAGTACACATGCGCATGGCGGTCCATATTCGCTTTGCTGCCAGGCGCAGCGTGCATACTTGCCTTTCTGACAGAAAGCTCTGCAGCATGCCCGTCCGCGACATAGTCAGTGGAGAAGATAATACTTGTCCTGTCTGCAGCATTCGACTTCTTGTGCACTAGTTGGATGCAGTGGCTGGGTGTGCTTCGGAAGAGGCCCTCCCCAGCTAGCCGGGTGCTGGATTTCAGGGCATGCTCATAGAAGATAGAGAAGCTTGTGTGGACAGCAAGATATATGTCCTGCGGGGACATGCAGCCCATCTTTTCAAGCACACCTTTAATCTCTTCGTACTTTGCATTAAGCTTGACATTCAGGTTATTCGTGGTCTGACACCTAGCATTCTTTTTCTCACACATGCGCACTATGCAGCACACGCCCTTCAGCACATTACAGTGCCCATTGAGGGTGGTTTGGGAAAGGGTGTGCTTCTCTGGCAGATATGCCTGCTCAATTTCTTCTACAGAGACTTCACGCATGTCTGCATACACCGCAGGTATGCATATAAACATGGAAAGCACAGCGGTAGCTGCATGCATATCTCTTTTTCGGCCTAGCCACATATATATATCACTAGCCGAGTGCCTTTTATTCGCCTGCTGGGCCATTTCTATCTGGCAGACCTGTCTTTGCAGCGCATCAAAGCTGGAGAAGCCTTTTTTGTCTAGAGTCATTTTCTTTTCTATATACTGTCTGAGAAGCTCCATGTTTTGTTTGAATTCGTTAATATTCTGGATATTTGGGCTTTCAAAAGACGGGCTCGAGCAATAGTCAATAATTTCTTTTTTCTCTTGGATTTTTGTTCCAAGCTTGCAGATGGAGTCCAGAAAAATAGTTAATGAAGAGCATTTGAAAGTTTTAAGCATCTTATCAACCTTAATTTTCATATTGGCCTTTTTATCGAAAGGGCCCTTATATACATTACTTTCCCATTGCATTGGGATTATATCTGTATTAATCTGCGGCTTCTCTTGCACACACTCTGCTTCCATTTCAATCTTCTCTTCAGACTCAGCAGCAAAGCCATTTGTATGATTCTCTTCTGGCGCACAGACAGTCTTCTCTTCAGACTTTGGTTCCTCCTCATTCCTTTCTAGTTCATGCTCTGTAGTCTTTTTCTCTCCTTGCTTTGCTGTGCTGCTTTGCATTTCGTAGCTGCTCTTGCTATCTTCTTTACTTTCAGAAATATCTTCTATCTTTTTTACTGTGTCTACACATGCTTTTTCCCCAATAAGATAGTTTGCCTCTGTTGGGTATATGCTTCCATATACCTGTGTGCCCGTCCAAATAAGAGCTGAGACAAAAAACACGCACATGACGCTCAGGCCTGTATATATGTAAACTTTCTGTGCATCTCTAACTTCGCGCATGCTATCAAAAAAAAGCGCAGAGATAGCATATTTCTAGAGTGCGATATTAAACAAATCTTGCGGTGGTAATCACACTGATCAAAGGGAGCAATTAATAAGTGCAGCCTGCAAGAGGTGCAGCAAAAAGCAGCCACCCGCAGATAGAGAGCAGTAAAAAGAAGAAGCCGTGAGAAGTGAGGGAATATACACATGCAGTATTAGTTGCAGAAAGTAGCAGATGTGTTGCAGAGTGTGCAGCTTTTCTTGAATATTTTTAGTCTTGTGTTTTGTACTATAGCACAGTAGGTTAAAACAAAAGAACTGCAGTGAGCACCACACTGTCTGTGGGCGGTATGTGTGGCTGCGCGGTGTGGCATGCAGTGCAATTTATCTGGGCACGTGTACATGGCATACAGTGCGGCGGGGCAGGTGCTTCTTAGAAAGTGCGTGTGTTCTGTGCGCAGTGCAGAGCTGTGGGAGAGCTCTCGTATGAAAAGACAAAAAATTTGGCGCGCTATGCAGAGCACAGAATACTCAGAAGAGCTGCAGACAACGGTCTCCCGCTTCAAGCACCCAGCAGAGATGAATGCAGAAGAGAAGCGCGTGATTGATCGAAGCAGCACGCTGCTGCTGTGCAGTGTGCCCACCCAGGGGTCCGTACAGGAAGCAGCCTTCTACCTGGCAAACCACTACTGGCTGCACGAAAGCCTGTTTGCGCCGCAGCTGCACGACTACGACTGCTATCTGGCGCAGAAGTACGCGATCAACAACGCGCTAATGTGTATCCTGTTCAGCATCCACGACAGCCACGAGATGCTCGCGTCTCTCAAGGAGAAAAAGAGCCATGCGCATCTGAAGGCGCTCTTCTACCGGATAATAGAGAGGAAGCTCACGCGATGGACAAACGTGTACATCACGATCCGAAGCAGGCGGGAGAGCGCGTCCTGCGTGTACACGGATATCCTGCACCAACTGTGCGCTCTGCGGCTGTGCCGGATGCTCGTGCGAGAGAAGAGGTACTGGGGCCGCCTGCTGGAGGAGGTGCAGGGCGTGTTTGTGCGGGAGGGCCGGGAGATAGAGGCGCCAGAAATCCCTGCAATTGAGCTGAGGCGCCTAACCGGGGACTTCTCCTGCGCAAACGAGTTTCTTCTGGACCTCCGAAGACAGTGCTGCGAGACACTGCGCGCACAGCCAGGGACAGGATTGACCTTTCTGCAGGCGCGCAGCGCGTTCCAGCTGAAGTGGATTGTGGGGAAGTGGAGCAGCACGCCCATGCTGACAGACATAGTGTGGCTGTACCAGGACGTCTTTGACGAAAAGCTCTGGCAGACATTCAGGACGACCACGCAGGAGAGCTATCCCGCGCTGCGGAGCGCATTGGACGCGTACAGGAAGGGCGTGCTGGGGAAAGAGAGAGCGGTGATGGAGGGCGCGCGCGGGAGGTACTACGCAGTGGCGAAGCGGTGGTATCTGCGGGCGTTTGAAAAGAAGAGCGGGGAGGACCCTCTGTTCCGGGAGTATCTGGGAATGCTGGCCACGTCTATTGAGGGAGACAAGACAGCGCCCAGCCCGTTCACAAGCATGAGGCGCGGGCGGAAGCAAAAGGACGGCCCTGTGCAGTTTACAAACGCAGAGCACATGCCGGTGGAAGAAGACAGACGTGTTGTGGCGTACCGCACTTTGGAGGAGGGCGAGTGCATGTGCGTGAGCGTGCGGTATGTGGTGTTCAGCACAGTTCTGTCCTGGCAGAGCAGAGCGCGCTCGCTGCAGAGGGGGGTGTACGCCTTTTCGCGAAGCAGGACAAACGCAGTGCCTGACCTGATGGAAGGAAAGACTGTTTTCCAGGCGGGCATCATGCTGTGCCTCTTCCTTCTTTCGGTGCAGGCGCTGACCAAGTACAAGCACTACACGCAGTGCACAGGGTACGTGATCACTCGACACATCTTCTAGCTGCGCAGCCTCCCTGCAGACGCACCAGGCCAGCAGAGAGCGCCTAAGTACTGCACGCCCTATGTATATACTCAACAAAGGGCAAGAGGCTGCAATCTTCCCGTGCAGAGAAGATGCATTGCTTTATACGCGCTGTAAATGCGCTGAGTGCAAAGCCAGATTATATGTGTGCAATCTGCGGAAGAGATGAGAAAGCAGTGACTGTGCACATACAGAGACCTGTCTACACTTATTATGGGAGAAGGTGCCTGCTGTACTGAGAAATAAACACAGACTTAGTATAGTTCCTCACAGAGCAGAAACAGCTCTTATTTTTTAAAAAGTCCATATGAAGTATTGCTATTTATTAGAGCCCTGAATATATATAATACACATTCACTTCTGCGGCACGCGCACTCTCGAATCGCACAAAACAGCCACAGACTGCCCTACGAGTAGTATAGGCCTAAGTTGTCTGGCTGCATCCCTTTCATGCAAGCTGCTGTGCAGTCTTACTCTCCAGAGTGCGCGCTGTTTCTGGCTCTGTCTGTGGCTATGTGCACCTGAATGTGCACTTCCCTGCCCTCTGGGCTTTCGGGAACTACACCACAGATGTGCTAGGGATGCTCTGTATATACGGAACAAAGAACATAACAAGGAAAATCAGTATGGCAGTCACAGAGGCAGGCCACGTGCTCGCAAAGACTGCGTGCGTGCTGTGCGAGCTCCTCCGCACAACCATGTCAACCAGGTTTGATATCTTAAACACCGCGCCTATCGTGTACATGGTAGCCATGGCAGGCGGGCTGGTGATGCTCTCTGGCGTGTAAAACGCAACCAGGTACCCCGCAACGGTTGATGCAACAATCACGCTGGCCAGCATGAGGGTCTTTGCCAGCTGCCAGTTTTGCTTGCGCAGAAGCACGAACCAGCGCTCAATCTGCTTGTGCGCCACATACAGACACATCCCGTACGCGGAGAGGCACAGCGCGCGCCAGCCAAGGAAGGCCAGGATGTCCTGCCAGCTCCACTTGGAGAACCCGTAGAGATTCACAGCAGTGTCATCAGAGATGTCCATGGCAAGCGCAGACGAAACAAACATAAAAAACACACTGGACAGCCCAAGCAGCGCAGATGCAATGAAGTTGAACGCAATCTGTGTTTTGGAGAGACGCGGCGCCTCCTCTACTGTCTTGGCCTCGCGCACAAGAATATCCATGGGAAGTGCAGGGCTTTGCTCTTCCGCCTGGAGAAAGAGGCCCCGCCCGTGGGGATCTCCGTCCATGCGGGTTGTCTTCTTTGACACGCACTTGGAGAGCGGCATATTTACATACTGCAGGCTTCGGACGTAGCTATTATAGTCTGCCAGCTTCTCGTCGAGCAGATCGATGTTCTCGTCTGCAAAGGCATTCAGGATTTCGCTGTAGTACGCAGCGCCTCTGTTGTAGCACGTTTGCCCGGGCCCGTCCCATCTCTCAAGAATCGCTTTCAGAAACTTCACGTGCTTGCAGTTGTACGGGTCCCACTCTGGATCCTGCAGGCTGTTCATCACTTCGCGGAGCGAGTGGTCTATCATTTTGCTGAGGGAGGTGTGGCTTCTTTCGATCTTCTTGCAGAGCGTCTGCGCGGAGTCCTCAACTATGTGCCGGTACGAGATCTTCCGGCAGCGCGGCTCCAGCAGGGGAACAATCTTCTGGATCTGCTCGAGCTTGTACTCGTACACCTTTACTGCATCGAGCGCTGTCTCAAGAAGCGCCGTGTGTGTAACGCTCTGCTTGTCTGCAGCGCGCGCTCCAGCGGAAAGGCGCTGCGCAAAGCGGTGCATGTCTGCCCAGAAGACAATCTCGCTCTGCACAATGTCTGCAAGCTCGTTTTCCAGCAGGTCCTTTATGCTCGTGCCTGTGCTGTCGTTCACCTGCCCATTTCTGTACATCTTTGCCAGGTGCAGCAGCATGCTGAACTCTCTGCGCTCTCTGTTTATGGGGAAGGCGTGCTGCAGGGCCCACACAGTGGAGGCCTTCTCCTCCTGCGTAAGATTCAGCCTGAATACTTTTTTCCTGTTTAGAGACCTTATGAAGTAGACCATGCACTGCGCAAGTGCCGTGGACACCGACTCAGTCGTATTGCTTGCGCTGTCAAGTATTTCAAATATTCTCTGCTGCACAGGGCTTCCGTTCTGCGAGTTTGTGTACTCGTAGAGCTTCAGGGTCACCATTTTCTCCAGCTCTTCCTTCAGCAGACTTCTCATCAGCGCAGCGTGGGTTGCAGGCTATATATACATGCTTTCTCGATTCGGGCCATTGCATAAGCAATTTTCCTAATCCGGCCATAGAAAAAGCAATTTGTCCATGTATGCACAAAGCACGCAGAGACAAAGTAAAAATACAGAACAATTAAAGAGGCAGGCATAACAGAAAGAAATTCGGGTCATATGCGGATATAGAGTGTGCAAATGGAGAGTGTGTTTGTGAAGAGAGCATATGGAGGAGTCTCTTTAGAGATGGGGATATTTCGCACACTTACTGCCCCCTTGGGTTATTTAGGATACTTGGGTGTTTGCCTGTAGTAAAGAATGTATTGTATATGAGTGTGCATGCATTTATAGTAAACTACATTTATTTGGTGCAGTAGATAATGCCTGGGATATATACTGTGCTAGACCAGCTATCTGCGCAGTCTTACTGTGTGTTTGCATGGTGGCCTCTGTGCGAGTAGCCCACCTCCACACAGATTTTCTCTCTAGCAGTTCTTCTTCCCGTACATCTAAATATGCTAGATGTCTCCGTATATGTATATGTGTTTGCACTCTATAGAAGCTATCGTTGATCAAGAAGTGTTGTCATGACCTGGTCCATCCCCGCAAGCTTTAGTGAAGCTGCACATCATCTGAGTGTCTGTTAATCTCTTAAATTCAGGTTTTACTTGTATTTCCAAGGGGTTTCTATGCTATTCTTCTCCGCATGTATTTTTTAATATTCTGCTGCAATTATGCACTGTGCTGCTAGCCTTTGGCTGTATGTGCTTTTCTGAAAGAAGGCGCACACCAAGAATGCCACCCCTCCACTAGAGAATGCCTGCAATCTCCAGAGCATCTCAAGTATAGACACAAAGCACAGCACTCCACAAGATGCCCTGTTTAACTCTGCACACCCTAAATAGTCTGCACAGCACAAGCTGCAGAGAAACCAACAATAACAAAATCCCATATAATATGCCCACCACATAGTATAAGGCACCTTTATTTAATATCTGTGCGGATTCACAGTAGACATCTAGTAGAGAAACTCTGAGCCTCTACTCTTGACCAGAAGAACAATAGCTTCATCACGATCTATGGTTAAGAAAATCATTGCAGCACTCATAGCAGCTAGAATAATGCTGTAAACACAGTAGAGTGCAAAACAGACTTTGGTGAGGCGCGACTCATGGATGCCAAACAGACTGATTCTGGGGGGTATCCTAGGCTGTATACAGAATATGGCCAGCAGGTATAGAATAACACTGCATATCTTGCATACAGCCCAAAACACCACAAAATACGTGTACCCAGCCGTGTAAAGACAAATAGACTCGAACAAAAAAGTGCCCAGCAGCAAAAGCATAAAAGCAGCAAGAACACGGCTGCAGCAGCCAGAGATCCGTCTGAAAAAGCAAATAGTTCTTGACATCCAGTACACACCGGGGAAGATGGCAATCGCGTGCATAGAAACACCAGCCAGCAGGCAGAAAATAGGGGCCAGCATGTAAAAGGAATTAAAAGTGAGGAGGGCCGCTGTTCTACCGTCCTGTGTCGTATAATACACCTGCGGTGTGGACGTTAAAATCAGCGCCATGGCCAGACAGCAGAACATAGAAAAGAATGCCTCTATGGGAAAAAAGGCAAAATTCAGATAGAAGTTGAACTTCTGCAAGAAAAGGCTCGTGCGAGTGTTAGAATACCTAGCAGGCTCATTATCGTTTACAAATTTATTTGAACTCAAAAACACAGGGTCTTCTGCGCACTCTGCACCAACATCTGGGATTTCAATACAGAAGGACTCGCTAGGCTTCTCACGGCGGGTGTCTTCTTTTTGCGTCTGCTTGGAAGTACTGGGTACTTGGTCTCGCAACACCATCACCATAGAGAGAAATGCAGCCTGCTCTTCTAGAGAAAGGCTATAGTTCTCCGCAGAGGATTTGCTATCTTTATTCATGCAGTGTGTTTTAAAATTTCAAGCTATATTTTCTTTTAGACTGATGAAAATAAGTATATGCTAATTTCTTTGCTGCATATACCAGGTGGGTTTTTGTATAGCTTGAACTAAGCATGCATTTTATACAGGCAGGAGTTCTCCAATTAGGCTAGTCAGCCTATATGCACAGGCTGTCTCTGTGCAACGCACAACTTCCGGCCAGGTAGCGGGGCCATCCATGCGTCCTTTGGCTACCGCGCCCAGAGCGCCCATAACTTCCACCTCATTAGACCCACTGCATGTAGACACATATTATGTGAAGTATACTCTGAATTCACTTGCTCCGCAGAATATATACATGGGAATACAAGTACACACACTCTCTGTGCATGTTTAATACGCTATTTGTCTGTATTCCATCTCAGCATCCTATCTAATGGCTTATATTTGATTGATTTTGATCTAAAGCAATATAATAAATGGAGGGCCGCATAAAATATTTATATGAAGATTGGAGAGGTTATATCTAAAGCAGCGCTTATAATCTCCGCAGTAGGTAGAATTTCCATCGCAGAAGGAAACAGCCTCCAGCTGCAAAATGAAAGCAGCATAGCCCAGACAAACTATACTCCCATGGTAGGGGCCGCGTGGGAGATGCCAGAACAGATATTTGTGCCTTTTGAAGAGCCACAGAGCCATGCAGACCACGCATCCCGGCAAATCCGAGAGGCTGCAGGCAGAGAAGTAGCAGACACGCCTTATTTTATGTTTAGCAGTAGGATCGCGATGCGCAGGGATCTTCCCGACAAGCTGTTTCTTCTGGTTGATTCAGCAGATCCTGTGACGGGAAGCAGTGCTGGGCAGACACACAGCATAAAATATAAGCAAGTAGAAAGACCCGGGGAGCTGCCACTTGCGCGAGCCCTGATGAGCTCTGCAGCACTAGGGTCCAATGAACAGAAGGAAATTGCAGACGGACTAGTGGCAAACACGTGCAGCCAAGTAGGAGACACCCGGGGGGCAAGAGCTGCAGAAGAGAGTGTATTTGTAGACAAGCTCAGCCTGTGCTACGGAGATGCAAATGCGTTCACCCATCTGATGATGGAGGAGTATGAGAGCATGCAGCAGCATCTCCAAGAAAACTTACAGTTTGTGTCCCCGCGCCGCGTGGTGGCTTTCTACGACATGCTCAAAGCTCTGCAGACATACAGGCTGCTCGAGATCCAAAACTTCATGGCGTGGGTAGAGCAAGTCGATGCAGCAGTGCTGGAAATGACACAGAACAACTGCAGCCCTGGGTTAGGCAGAAACAGAGCGCCAGGTGAAGAGTGTTCTGAGCACATACATGCTACACGCCCCAGAAGGGACGCACTGGCAAAGGACTTGCATCTGTTTAAGCATCTGGTGAGCAATGGCGCGCACCAAGTGCAGGCTCTGTTAGTCCACATGATGGATATGATAGGAATATACAAAAGAAACAGCAGCCAGCTTCAAAAAGGCATTTCTTTCAGTATAGAAGGTGCAGAGTGGGAGATTAACGAAACGTTCTCTCTCCTCACATCCAAAATAGAAGAGTTTCGGGCAGACAGGGCCCTTCACACACAGGTTCACGGCATAAAGAAGGAATTGCAGAGAGCAGTGCAGCGATACTACGGCCTAGTGCAGGAGTTCGAACGCAATCTTCAAAAAGAGGCAGAAAACATTGAGAGTCTGCTGTCTGCAAAAGGCCCAACAGATAAGAGATATATGCCTGCAGCACAGGGCTTTTTAAAGAGCGGGATGGCAGTGATGGCCAGCGAGATAGAGTTTGTTGATAACGTGTCGAATGGAATTATGCAGTATATTAATACGATTAACAATAGAGCTAATGCGAAGCAGAGAATGCGCGTAAAAGACACCAAGTGTCCATTTGACCAGTATATACACCAGGAAAGAGAACAGCCAGTGCAGCAGGAAAGAGGACAGCCATTGCAAAACAAACCACACACTGCACATACGCCTTCTTCCCACCGAGGATCTGTGCACAGCGAGAACCAGCACCCCTCCAGCAGCAGATCCCACGCGAATACTGGTGGAAGCAGGCGAGAGCAGGCTCCGCAGACCACAGAAGCACCTTCTGCAAGGATAGATCCTACGCCACCGCCTCGAACATGGGAGCAAGACATGATGCAATCCTTTGACAGCAAAGTAATTAGCGCAATTAACAATATGCCCGATGCAGCTAGGGCCAATGCTGCAGCCTGGCTAAGAAAAAGCCTTGCAGCAGGAGACATACAGCTGTCGCACGCAGCAGAGCTAGATGCGCAAAGTACTCTGCACCCAGCCAACAACTTTCTGCTGCAGCCATCTGCACAGAGAAAAGTTGCAGACCGCATACATAGCAGCAGACAGAAAGAAAAAGACGCCTCTGCAGAGATAGAATCTCTCAAAGACACACTGCGCGCTCTAAAGGACGAAACAACCAAGCTATCATCTACATATTACTTGGTCCCGCAACACCATTACCATAGAGAGAAATGCAGCCTGCTCTTCTAGAGAAAGGCTATAGTTCTCCGCAGAGGATTTGCTATCTTTATTCATGCAGTGTGTTTTAAAATTTCAAGCTATATTTTCTTTTAGACTGATGAAAATAAGTATATGCTAATTTCTTTGCTGCATATACCAGATGGGTTTTTGTATAGCTTGAACTAAGCATGTATTTTATACAGGCAGGAGTTCTCCAATTAGGCTAGTCAGGCTATATGCACGGGCTGTCTCTGTGCAACGCACAACTTCCGGCCAGGTAGTGGGGCCATCCATGTGTCCTTTGGCTGCAGCGCCCAGAGTGCCCATAACTTCCACCTCATTAGGCCTACTGCATGTAGACACATATTACGTGAAGTATACTCTGAATTCACTTGCTCCGCAGAACATATGCATGGGAATACAAGTACACACACTCTTTGTGCATGTTTAATACGCTATTTGTCTGTATTCCATCTCAGCATCCTATCTGATGGCTTATATTTGATTGATTTTGATCTAAAGCAATATAATAAATGGAGGGCTGCATAAAATATTTATATGAAGATTGGAGAGGTTATATCTAAAGCAGCGCTTATAATCTCCGCAGTAGGTAGAATTTCCATCGCAGAAGGAAACAG